GTTGGTTTTGTTTACAGCATAACAACCTCTATAGCTCGTTTAATGCCGAAATCTAAATATTTTGATAGGTTTGGTTTGGTTGTATCTGTTTAGCGGCTTATCAACCTTTGTAGCTTGTTTAATTCTGAAATCTAAATATTTTTGAACACAGTATTATACTTTCAACTACAGATAAAATGTGTTGTTGGTAATTTTACTATCAGGTCATCCCATAAGTTCTGTCCGAATTTTAAATAAAGAAAACAAGTGACCAAATGTTACATTTAATTACAGATTCAATCAACAATGTATTTTCCCTGATTATCTATGACTTCCTTTCATCTATTAACAAGCTTACTAATTCCATTACTGTAAAATTCTTTTGGTTTTGATTCGAAGAACTCACAAATGTCAGTTTTAAGCTCTTCCTGTGTTACAAAAGCTGTTTCTTCCAAATGATTCTGTAAGCTATAAAACAAATGGTAGTCTGAAGGAGCAAGATCGGGAGAATAAAATACATGAGGAATTTTCTCCCAACCAAGTTCTTCGATCTTTTGTGACGTGATTCTTGCTGTGTGATTTCGCGCATTGTCCTGATGAAACATCACCCCTTTTCGATTCACTAGAGCAGGTCTTTTTTCCCCTCAAAGCTTGGTTCAAACGCTCTAATTGCTGACAGTATATTTGAGCATTAATTGTTGCATTAGGTGGTAAGAATTCAAAGTGGATTATTCCTTGGCGATCCCACCAGATTGAAAGAAGAACCTTTTGCCAATGAAGTTCCCTTCTCGGTTGTGGCTGGGGTCCTTCCCCTTTACCAAGCCACTGTCTACGACGCTTAACATTTCAATAAAAGATCCATTTTTCGTCGCCAGTCACAAGTCTATCCAAAAAAGGAGAGAAGAGCAGATGTCACTTCGGGATTTGAGGTTGTTTTCAGACAATTCATGAGGCACCCATTTTCCAAGTTTAGGAACTTTTCCAAGTTGTAGAAGATGATGATGAACAGTTTTATGGTTTGAACTGAGAGCCACTGCCAATTCCTCAACTGATAAAGCAGGATTTTCTTCAAGGGCTGCTTCAAGAAGCTTTTCATCAAACTCAACTAGACATTCGGTTCAATCTTTATCTTCAAGGGTGAAATCTTCACCTCTGAATTTTGCAAACCATCTTCTGCAAGTTCTTTCATTCACACATTCCTCTCCATAAACTGAGTGAATGTTTCTAGCCGTTTCGGCTGCTGAGTTCCCTTTCTTGAACTCATAAAGCATTATCTGTCTTAAATGATTCTTGGATACTTCCATGTTAGCAGGGTTTTAATCAAACAAAATTTAATTTTATTGTTCTCTGAAATAAAATTTGATCAGTTTAAAATAATGTTCAGCTCCATTAGAAATTATAAAATACTCTTTAAATTTTGTTCATTTTAACAAAAAGTTAAAATTCGGACAGAACTTATGGGATGACCTGATATAAATTGGTATTGTTGGTAATTTTTATACTTTCATACTGTTCTGCTTTTCTTTGTGAATTCACTATTTGACCCTAATTCACTATTTGACCCTAATTCACTATTTGACCCTAATTCACTATTTGACCATAATTCACTATTTGACCCTAATTCACTATTTGACCATAATTCACTATTTGACCCTAATTCACTATTTGACCATAATTCACTATTTGACCATAATTCACTATTTGACCATAATTGAGACCCTAACAGGTGCTTCTACCGTGGGTAAGATTGAACCTGGGAACAACAGCAATTAAGATGTTGTCCCAGGCTCCTCAAAACCTCCAATCTCTCGATCTTGCTGCTGGATGTAGTTTATCGTCCTACCCAGGACTATGGCTCTACAGAAAGATGCTGAGAGTACCATGGACTGAACACATGAGCAACGACAAATTTTAGAAAAAAATGGAATAAAAAAGAACACTTATACTGAACATCAGGAAGAGACACTGGAAAATTCTAGGAAAGAAGGCTTGGAAAATTTGATACTCACTGGGAAGAGGGACAGAGGAAAAGAACGCATAAACTATCTGGCGAGTTTGAGCAAATGGATGGCGGAGCAAGGTTTAAAAAATATAAAATTTCTTAAGGTCTACAAATTACAGGAAATTGTGGAGATCCATGATCGCCAGAGTCCTGAAATGACACGGCACATGTAAGAATATGACTTCTTGAAAAATATAATGGAATGGTTTCCCATTGCATTCTCCATTTTTTTTAATTAAGTGTTACCTTTCTCCTTCAGCCACCCAGAGCTAGAGAGCCGAGTCCACCCTATTATTTAACGCATAATACGTGGTAGGGGCGGAGAGATGGATTCGTGATGAATATAAATCTTTCTCTGGTGTCTCTAAGCTGTCAACTATCTGCTCACATTCAACTCTTCTAAACTTAAGCCATTAGACAAGTAGCGATGTTTTAATTGTGTCTTATTGGAAGACAAGCGTCAATCGTTATCTATCCTATTTTTCTCCATAATCTTCACTTCCTTCTACCTTTTCTTATTTATATATCACATACCTCATTCAGTGACCCTATCCCTTAAAGGCACTTGACCCTTGTGGTGTGTGAACTTTAGTAAAAAAAATCACTGAGCTATTTCTAATCTCTTGTTTGTAGCATGCCATATTGGCTAACGGGCAAACAGTTGAAGGACTGATATTACGCAACAGTTCAGTACTGTTTTCTTTGTTTCTAACAAAATTTTTCTGTTTCTTAATACTTTGCTTAGCTTTTGGAAGGCATCATTTACTATCCTAATGCGCCTTCCGATTTCAGTGCTATCCTGTTAAAACAATTCCCAGATATTTAAATGGTTGTACTTGTTTGATTTTGGTATGTTCAGTTTGTAACGAAATACCGTGGAAGGTTATAAAATGCATTGTCGGCCATATTAGCATGTATAATAATAATTTATGCAGATCTATGGAATATTGTGGTCAGGGCCGATGCTAGTGTCTCATACTCCACCATAAATCTATGATACAAGGCCTCCATTCTACTCATCTCATTTTTCATAATGTAGTTTTCACATAAAATACAAATTTTATTTTAACCTAATTATCTACAATATCATATGCAATATAGGTAAACAATTCAACTAGAAAAATTGTACCTGTTTGGGCCGTTCTTGAAATCATATTAATTCACATATAATAAACGAAAGGAATTCGTGGAAAGCCATGATTCCGTTGAAGCTGAATTTAATCAGCCTCAGCCGAAATTCGAAGTCCTTGCAACTCTGCACTTATAAAAAGCGAACCCGTCATTTTACATCCACCCACATAGATGTGTATAACTGTATAAGGCGGAAACACTTAGAAACAAAATTAGTAACAACAACAAAAATAATTGAATTAAAATGAAATAAACTAAAGAAAGTGACATTGAATTATGGTTCAGAGGCTAGTAAAAAGTCAGGGTTTTGTTAAGTTCTTTTATGTGTCATGATCCTTTAAGATGTGGGCGATCATGACTCTTCACTTCCTATCCCTTGTAGCTCTAAAGCAGTAGCCCCCAGCCACCAGTCCGCGGACCGGTTCCGGGCTGTAGAGCATTTGATACCGGGCAGCACAGCAAAAAAAAAAATGAAATTTTTTTTTCCCCATTTTAATTATTATCGCGGCCTACCGGATGTTTTATTTTGAAAATTGACCACTTCCGTCTGTACCTCTTTTCTTGTTTCAATTGCAGTTTTTTTTTTTCGTGTAAAGAACCCAACAAGCCAACCCTAGCGAAAATAAGTAGAAAACATACCTTTCTTGAGAGTTGCTTTGAAATAGGAACTAGAAGTCCAAATAATCAGATGAGAGAAAACTCCACGATTGCTAAAAAAGAAAAGAAGAAAATACTAAGCGTCTTACTTAAATCACGGGGTTCATTGCAACGGGTGATTCATGCTCTGTTTTTTTATTTCTCTGTTTATTATGTGGCGAGCGGCTTTCCAAAGAGGCCATGAAGACTTCAAAACTTCTTCACAGAGACCAAGCACCATGCATTAAAATACAAACTTTGTGGAGTTTTTTTTTTTAAGAAAAAACGTGAACACAAAGGACAGAAGCAATTGTTGAAGGCCATCATACCATCCAATGTGTAATGAGACAAAGCATTGCTTTAGGCTCTAAAGCAGGGCCTGTCCCCTTGCTATCTAACTCAGTTCTTGTTCCGTCATCCATTTGCACAAGCTCTCTAATTAGGTTACTCATTATTCCCCTCTACTCGTCTTACCTTCAACATGTCCTGTGAGTCTTAAATTCCCCAAGCTCTCTTTCTTGATTAGTTGTCCTATGATCATATAAGTGTCATTTTTTCAACCATGTTCCATAAAACTTCCTTGTTGCTTATGCTCTGCTCATGGTATTCTCAGCATCCTTCTGTAGAACCATATATCTGTTGTCTCAAGTCTGAGAAAACTGTCCAGCATTCACTGCCATATAGGAAGACTGATATTACATAGCAGTTCAGCACTTTGTTTCGAATGAAATTTTCCTGTTTCCTAATACGTTGTTTAGCTTTTAGAAGGCATCTGTCATTATTTCATTACGCTATTCGGATTTCTGTGTCACGAAAAATATTCCACAGACAATGAAATTATGCTAAAGAACTAATTTCTGAAAAAAAAAAGTTTATCACGTTAGTATTAGGAATGTTCGGAGACTACTTATTTCATCGCTATGAATTATAATTTAAGTAGACAAAGACGTGTAACATTGTGGTTGTTGGTTGTCTTGGCTGTTTTTTGTTTAGCGGCATATCAACACTTCTATGGATTATTTAATGCCAAAATATAAATATTTTATACGCAATTTTATTTTATTTCCATTTTTTAGAGATAATAATGGTTTTAGTAATACAAGTCTTACTAATTAACACAATAAAGGAGAAGAGATGGATTCAGGCCTTTCCCAAGGGTATTTGCACGTAAGGAAATATAACGAACCCAACTGAAACTCGGCTCTCCGATTGACGATTCCGAGTCATTATCTATTACATCATCCACGCTTAGAGCACCTGTTATTCTCAAGTGGTCACCCATCTAGGTATTGACTAGGCTTGACATTGCTTAACTTCGATGATCGTACGTGAACTGGTGTCTCAACGTGATGTAACCGTAAGCACATTGTGGTTGCAGAATAAAAGGAGAGTAATTTAAGTTTGAGGATGAAGAAAAAGCAAAAATCATTTCCTAACTCATGAACATTCACACTGTTGTAAATATATCGTATCTTTGAAATACGTTATATCTGTTAGGTTCAGTTGACAGTCATAAGTCCTACAAGAAAAATTAATAGAAGCAGAACGTGGCGAAGTCTTTTCATTGATCTGTGAATTGACTAATCAGTAATTAGCTAGAAGGTGGGTAAAAAAGTAAAAAAAGAGGAGTTCCTCCAAAATTCTTTAGTGAGATTTTTGTTTTGGTAGCAATCCAATGACCAAGAGTAATGAAGTTCTCTCGCTCACTTCGCCCTCTCATTCGCTGCCGAGTGGTCCACAACATTCTCTGCTGGAGACAATAACATTTGACCGATGCAGACCCCACGCGTTGTGCCATTTATTATAATATGCAAACCTTCTAACTGGCAAAAAGTTGTTTTCCTGATTTTTAGTCAGAAATCGACACGGTGCGACTTTGGCCTGAAGACAGCCGATACAGCCTACCACGAACCGAAACCGTAATTCGCCAAAAGCCAGTTCGCGCCACAAAAGTTCTAGCGGCAATGCAACAGCTGAACCAAGACAGAATGGTAGATAACTGCGTCTAGAATCATATACTTTATCCGACAGTGTGTAGTTTATAGTACATTTCGGAGTTTAAATGGGAAAACTTGCAAAGAGGGTATTTGAGTTACACATATGCTTTCGCCTGAGAACCTCATACAACATTTCGCCATATGCAATAGTCATTTAACCAGAAATTACAGTGTATCAATTTTGCATTACATGATGATGAGAAATGGATTTTGCATGCCAAGAGAAAACGATGTATTGGTTATCACAAATATGAGGAACCAGTGTCAATACTAAAATCAAAATTCGATTAATAGAATCCCTTGCTGTTTGTCCAGTGGAATATGAAATGTATCGTCCATTACGAACTGCTGAAACACGGAAAGACCATCACTGCAGATATTTATTGCCAGCTAGTTTATTGGGTAAACGAAGTATCATGTTCAAAGGTGTTGTCCTCCTTTGGAATTTTTTGATACGTAAACATCTGCGTTTTTAGTTTTACCAGCAAGAGTGATGTTACACGTAATTTTCCCAAGAAAAATTAATTTCTTGCTCAATATTCCTCTTGCAACTTTGTCGTTTTTTTTTTCAAATTATGCTTGCCGATTCTGTTCCAAGATTTTTCATTAATAATTGTAATATTGCTATTAGTGTTCAATTGAAATCTCACCGTAGCGTTATTCATTTTTACTGTTATGAATTATCTATTATTTGTAATTTCCAGTTTTTTTCTGTATTTTTTGTGTATTTCTTCTGCTTTTCGACTTGCATTAGCTTCGTTTGTCATCTGTTTTTCCACAATTAAAACATCTTTTGTTTTTAAATGGACAGTCCTTTCTGAAATGAAGCATACCACAGCCATAGCATGGGTTAAGTTTGGCAGTATTTTTATTTCGAATTTTTTCTTTTAGTACTACTGTTTTTTTAACTACTTGTACTTATCACGTGTCATTTTCTTCGAAATTCGCTGTATCGTATTGGCATTTTTGGCACTCTTCCGCAACAGTCTGTATGGTTTGCTTTGAATCCTGTTCCAGTTTTGTAAGGATTCGATAGCGTATTTCCGCACAATTCTCGTAACAGAAAACGTACTCTCTTTTCATCCGATCATCCTTGACATTCTTCTCTGAAAATGACCTCGTACCTTCTGAAGTACGATAGGAATGTAATATTTTCTTCTGGGACGTAATTAAACTCACTAAATGAGTTAGCGACTAAATCGAGCGAAAACGAAAAGCCGCTATCAATATATGCTATTTCGATGAGTCCAAGGCATATTCTGGAAAAGCGTGTTCATCTCCAATACAAAAGTAAGTCCAAGAAATATATAATTGCTTGGATGACAGATTCTTCCACATTCTCTATACTCACCAGATTTAGGATCTGCAGATTTTCCTTTGTTTTAATCGCGAATTCATTTCATAAGCGGTCGAATATTCAGAAACAATGAAAACAGGCTTTCAAATGTTTCGTGGAATAATCCAGATTTATTTAACAGTGTAATCGTAAAGTTGCCTTCCCGTTAGGTTATACTTGTTAAAATGAAGGTGATTACATTTTTGATAAATACTATTTAAAGAAGTTAAACCTATATTTGTTTTATATCGTTTCTGGTAAAACTTAATAACTTTCCGAACAGCCTAATCTTTAAATAAATTTAACTTATATTTGACTTTATATCATTTCCAGTAAAACAAACAAACAAAAAAACAAAAAATTATTACAAAATGAGAAATCAGTGCCAACACCAACATCAGATCCCCGTCTTCGAAAGTTCTTGCCTTGTGTCTGATGGAATATGACAGATGTCAGCCATTACGATCTCATGGAACATGGAAGGACCATCACTGTAGATGTTTATTTCAAGGAACTCGATCGAGTAAACGAAGCATTATTTCGAAAGGTGTTATCCTCTATCCTGCTAATGCAAAGACACACTCTAGAAAGTAAGTCCAAGAAAAATATAATTGTTAGGATGAGAGGTTCTTCTACATTCTCCATATTCACCAGATTTAGAATCTGCAGATTTTTCTTTGTTTCAATCGCGAATTCATTTCATAAGCGGCCGAATATTCAGAAACAAAGACAACAGACTTTCAAAATTTTCGGGAAATAATCCAGATTTATTCATCAGTGGAATCGAAAAGCCCCCCACTTAGGCTGCACTTGTTAAAAATGAAAGGGATTACATTTTTGATTAATAATATTTAAAAGAATTTAACATGTTTCTTTTTATATTAGGCTATTCGGAAAGTTATTAGGTATTGCCACCTAGTGACTTTCCGAACAGCCTAATATTTAAAGGAATATTTATATATATAAAGGAATATATATTTGTTTCTATATCCTTCCTAGTAAATCATAACTTTGCACCATCTGCAGAAGTCTTTAAACGAATAAAATCAAACTTTCATTTTTTGCATTGCAGGGGATTAAAAATTTTTTTTGCATCTCATCCGAAAACGGAAAGAATAAAAAAAATATTACAAAATGAGATCTGAGTGCCAGCACCAAAATCAGGACCCCGTTCACAAAAGTCCTTGCTTTGTCTCTGATGGAATATGACAGTTGTCGTTCATTACGAGCTCCTGAAACATAGAAGGACCGTTAGTATCGAGGTTTATTGCTAGCAACCTGACCGAGTAAACGAAGCATTATGTCGAAAGATGTTATCGTCCATCATGACAATGCAAGGGCACACTCTACAAAGAAAATCCAAGATGGGTGTTGGTTGGTTGTTTTTGTTTAGCGGCATATCAGCCTCTAGGGGTTATTCAATGCTGAAATCTAAATATTATGTACGCAATTTACTATTATTATTATTTTGCAAAATAATAATGGTTTTGGTGATGAAATTCTTATTAATTAACCCATATCTGGGGGAAGCAGAGGTGGACCCACACCTTTCTGAAGGTATTTGCGCGTAAGTGAATATAGCGGACCTAACTAGAATTGGAACTCGGTTCTCCATTAACAATTCCGAGCCATTATCCATTACACCGTCCACACATCGAAGACAACACCTGGTATTGCCAAGTGGTCACCCATCTTGGTACCGACCAGATTCGACGTTGCCTAACTTCGGTGACCGTACAGGAAACGGTGTTTCAACGTGACGTGTCCGTAAGCCGGTAAGGGAGGTTCTTCCACATTCTCCATACTCACCAGATTTATCATTTGTTTCGATTGCGAATACATTTCATAAGCGGTCGAAACTTCAAGAATGAGGAAAATGAAAAAAAGAAAGAAAGATCTTTCAAACATTTTTTCAGGGAAAACTCAGATTTAATTGAACGTGGAACTGATATTTGCCTTTCGGTTTCGTCTTTAACCGTTGAAAATACCGGGAAGGGACAACTCAACACCGCCGGCTCAACGCCGTCGACTCAACACCACCAACTCAACATCGCCGACTCAACACCACCAACTCAACACCGCTGACTTAACACTGCCGACTGAGCCCCGGGACAACTCAGTACCGAAACAAATCAGCACCAGAAAAACAACTTTTTAATAACCGAATAAACGTAATTTATTAAGGATGAAAACCTTAATAAGTGAATATTTTTAAAATTATTTTTAATAAAATAAATCGCAAAGGAATTTATTTTATAATAAAGTAAAAATATTCAGAAAGTAATTAATTGGACATTTCGGCGTGATGAAATGGTTAGCAAGGTTGTCTCGTTAGATTAATTCGGACTGAATAGTGAGTTTGAACCCTCACTTGTGCTACATTTAAGCTACACTTAGAAAATTACCACATGTACTAGCCACTTTAACTAATTGCCGATGAAAGTGATTTGCTATTTCGCCTCTGATTATCTATGCCATATAGTTTGTTTACTGTCGAGGAGTAGTGGACTCTGTTCTTATTAATTGTTTCCTTTGTTAGTTTCGCTTAATCCTTTTGTTGCTTTTTATGGTCAGATCGTTATACATTCTACAATCGTCAAGTAATCAGGATGGAATAGAATCAAAGAATAATAAGTCCTCGAGTATAAACCTGAACAATGTTTACCTATAGACTCTCGTATAAACCCAACCAATTTTTAACTAGAGATTCAAGTATAAACCAGACCAAGGTTTATCTAGACTCAAGTATAAACCTGAACAATGTTTACCTATAGACTCGTATAAACCCAACCAATTTTTAACTAGAGATTCAAGTATAAACCAGACCAAGGTTTATCTAGACTCAAGTATAAACCTGAACAATGTTTACCTATAGACTCTCGTATAAACCCAACCAATTTTTAACTAGAGATTCAAGTATAAACCAGACCAAGGTTTATCTAGACTCAAGTATAAACCTGAACAATGTTTACCTATAGACTCTCGTATAAACCCAACCAATTTTTTAACTAGAGATTCAAGTATAAA